TTTAGGGTTTAGGGTTAAGGTTCCGCATCAGCTTACAGAGCTTTCTGCAGGGCTATCTGGGTCACTGTTGGATAGACAGGTTAAGGGCTTGGGGTTCGAGGTTTAGCCCAAGAAGGAATAATTATGGGATTATGGGATTGTAGTCCAAGATGGTATCCCTTGGGTCGCTCCCCCTAACCGTCACTGTCCTCAAAAGGGGGCTTAGTAAGGGCAAAGGCAATTGCTATTACCTCTTCTGGTAACTGTTGCTGTAAGGAGGGGTCAAAAGGTATCCCAATCAGGAACACTAAGCCGCAACCCCTGAACGCTGAACAGTTATCTGTATAGGCCTGTCGTTGTTCAATGCTTAGGCAGAGGCAGTGGGCTTCTTGCTGCTGGCGCCTCCAACATTTGTCTTCACAGAGCGGTCTTGTGGCCTGGCTACCTGTGCTTTAAGGTCCAGGATTTAGGGTTCAGGGATTCGGGATTAGAATTCAGGATATTGAGCTCAGGGAGAAGGGTTTACGGTTGAGGAATAAGGGTTCAGGCCTTGGGGTTTAGGTAGAGGGTTCAGGGTTTGGGGTTTCTGGCTCGCAGTGCTGTTGCAACAGCACCCTGCACGTACGCCCAACCCGCACGGCATAATTGCCAGCATGGTTATTATAATATCCCATGGGTTTTTTCATGCTGTGTGTCTACCATTCTGGGTGGGCCAGAAACAACCTGAGGCCAGTTGCACCATCGTGGAAGACCCAAAGACAAGGTCAAAATTTCCATTGTCTACACAGCCCAAGGGATCCAACTATATAAAAATTACCTACATAGGGCCCTAAAGTCTGTAAACATTACCTGCATTGGGCTATTTGGGATCCTTGTACATCGCTTTAGACCGCTAGTTTCCATTTCATTCTCCATTTTATCTTCTTCCAGTATTAGAGTATAATACAATGCTATTTGGATCCCTAAGGCAGTTTTCAGCAATCTTCAAGACGTCCCCATGCAAATGCAGCAGTTGAAGGCCATGCATTATCTAGATCCCAAGCCCTTAACCCGCGAACCCGAAGCACAAAACCCTCAATCCTCAACCTTAACACAACAGCCTCAATCCTGGACCCTAACTTCTGAGCCTAAACCCCTAAACCCTAAACCAGTAGACCCTATCCTAAGGCGAAGATCTGGTACTGCAGCGGAACCTGTTGACGGAAGACTTACAGACAGGTAGCGGGCTCAGATGAGCTCAAGCACTTGGGTTTGGGTTTAGGGGTTACGGTTTTACTTGGTATAGGGTTTCGGGAATAGCGGTCAGGATTCGGTTTCGGGGATTACGGGTTTGGGGTTCAGGGTTTTGGGCTCACGGATTTGAGCGTTCATGGTGTAGGCGCTTGGGGTATTTATGAAAGATGGAAGCTACCATGTGAATCACGTGGTAGCTATCTGTGGCCTCGGGGTTGAGTGGGATGTGGAGATTTCCGCAATGGTCCTCATATAGCACACAAGGGTAGTGCTCCGGTGCACGGACAAGCAGTGCAGAATGGTCCTCATATAATCCCTCACAGGGACTGCTACATTGGTGTTTGGACAAACTCCCATGTGATGACTTTGGCGCCTTGGACTCCGGAACCTAAAAGGGGGCCCTCGTATACAATTGCGTTCCATGTAAGTTCCGGGGAGGCTCCCGGACAGCCCTCCAGCATGAGCCCCGGCGCCGGAGAGACCGGCTTTCTTGGATGGGTGTTTTTGAATCGGAGTCCCGAAAACCTTTGCATGCGGGGAGTCTGTTAAAGCAGTTCCGGGAGCTGGTCTGTACAGCAGGCCGTAGATATCAAAGAGTGTGAAAGTTCCAAATTTACTCGTACTGACCTCCCACTAATCAGTCATCAGAGGCCACGCAAAAACAACTACTATCACTCCATAACCGGGGAGCTCTTGCCAGAGATCTTGCGCTACCTCCTAAACCCTCAACCTCAAATGCCATGCTGCATCTCCATAGAAGACCCATATTAAAGGGTTCCATGTTCTTCAGGGGAGACTATTAAGCAGCGTAGCTGCGCAACCCACAAACCCCAAGCCTTTAGCACCAAACCCTAGACCCTGAAACCTACACCTGACTGATGCTTGCACAGAAAACATGCGAAGACGTGTTAAAACACAATTGCAATCTTTTCAAATCGAGCTTTTCGCAAACCCTACAGGTTGCACCTTATAGTCGCCTCATATCGTATTATAAACCCCATCGTACCGGGTTCCGTGAGAGCCCCTGCTTTTTCCAAAGAACCCAGCTGAGCAGCCACCTGAACCGAATTCTTTGAACCCTAAAACCTAATTCCCCCCAAGGCCTATCAACTCAACACACCTTAAACCCAGAAGCAAGACTTGCAGCGGTAGTTTCCTTTTTCCTTTCCTCTCACCTAGATCATCCAGGCGCAACCCTAGCTTCCATTTTGATTTTCCATGTTCCTTGCATCTTGATTCTCCATTATAGTAGCTTCCATGTTATTATTTCTTTCAACGTTCTAGGCCCTAAAGCCCAAAGACCTTAATCCCTAAACCCCAAACATCCTGAATAGTTGTTTCCATTCTTGTGCAGGGTTCAGGATGATATTCTACTGGCTCTTAGTAAGGAATGAGGGGAATATAGTATACAGGGACTAGAAAGGGATTCTGTTCCCTTATTCCCTTCTAAGAACCAGTAAGATATCTAGAGGTAAAGGCTTCAAATGGGTGTTCTGGGTTCAGGCCTTGACTTGTGGTTTACTGGTTCTAGTCTTCAGGAAAGTTTCCATTCAGGCCTCTAAGACTTGCGGCGTCCTGGATTCTAGGCTGCGCAAGCTCGGGATACATGGGGGGTAAGCCCTAAATCCTAGACCTTCAACCCTAAACACCAAGCCCCAGACCCTAAAACCCAAACTTTATCTTGAGGCTCATGACGACCTGCTTTGGAACACGCTGCTTCAGGTCTAGAACCCCATTAAAGGAGCTAGGAAAATCCTTACAAAATCCTTTGTTGGATTTCAGTCGTGAGCGGGTTCATGATGCGGTAAATATGCTGAGAAGGCTTGCTCCAAAATCGGGAAAAATCTAGTATTTTCTAGCTTTTTCTAGGTTTTTCTAGCTTTTTCTAGCCTTTGCTAGCCTCGTCTAGGTTTCTCTAGCGTTTTCTAGCCTTCTGTAGCCTCCTGGGGTTCTTAGGGCTTGAGCACATTAGATTTAAGGTATCAGGGCAGGGTTTTGGGTGCAGAATGAAGACCTTAGTCGGTGCCTCCAAGGTTTCTTGTTAGGTGCGCATCCATCCATTGCAGGAACCGCTTAGCTTCTCTTAGCTTTTCTCAGGTTTCTTCTAGCTTTCTTTAGCCTATTGCATTTTCTGCTATGATGCTGCAGAATTCCTGTTTTGTTCTGCTGCTCCCAAGCCGTAGGCCTTGAAACGGCTAGTGATGAGCATGTATGACTTTAGAACCCAAACCCCGAAGCCTAAACCCAAACCCTAGACCCTAGACCCCAACCCTAGATCCCAGACCCTAAACCCCAACCCTAGATCCCAGACCCTAAACCCCAAACTCTGACACGCTTGGCCCAGGCCAGCTCAGCAGCCGACCTCTCTTTTTGGAGGATCGTCCACGGTGCGAGGCCAGGAGACTGGTATAACGTAGAAGAATTAGGGTTTGGGGTTCAGGGTGTAGGGTTCAGGGTAATCACCTACCCCGAATAATCTGGAACCATGATATTCTAGGGAAAGCTATATAAACATATATATATTAATATATGTACACATGTACAAAGATATATACATGTCTACAATTATTTATTGCGGAAGCCTGAGTACACAAGGATATTGCCACCTGTAACTTACAAGTCTGGATAAACCTCATATTGGGCGCATAGCACACCCCCGAAGCCCTATGGCCGCTATTTTGGCATAGGCTGCGCAGAAAAGGCTCGGGAAAGTTTTTAGTTGCCGTAATCTCCTGCTAAGCTTCATTGAGTCTGTACTGACAGCGGCTAGGCGAAAATGGATGACCGCCTGTATCGTGCAGTTTGTGCATTGCATGGCTGTCTCGCACGGTCTCAGTCCATGGGAAAGAACTGAGACGCACAATGTGGTGTTAGAGTTGTGCAGCAGTGCTGAAGATGCTTCGCCAGTAGAAGAGATTGAGGCCAACAAACATTCAACTAAGGCACCTGCGGGACAAGGCTTCCCCACAAAAGCAGAGTATGATAACCGCCCCCTTCCCCGCCAACTTGTGGTAGTTTCCCAAAATAAGGGGACCCCAATATAGACCCCCAAACACTATAATCCTTATTATGGGGACCCCCAAAAAGGTACCCATAATATTGGGAAACCCNNAAACCCTAAACCCTAAAATCCTCATATAATCCCCATATAACCCCTATATAGAATCCCTATAATCCCCCTTTAAAGGTACCCCTAATTTTGGGAAACCCCCCATGTGGGCCTGAAGAGCCCCAGCAGGTGGTGACTTCGGAATGGCTATCGGAAGGCCTCCGCCGAGCTTGTGGGGTAAAAAGCGTAGCCTTTGGGGGGTTTAGAGTTTAGGGTTTAGGGTGTAGAGTTTAGGGTTTAGGGTTTAGGGATTCTTGGGGAGGTGACGGTCGGCTATGCAAGAAATCCACAGCCCTTTTTTAGGGCTCCTGGAAGAGAGATTAGAGTTTAGTGTCTGGCCTCCTCGCACCTTTGTTATCAGGTTTAGGGTGTACCTTAAGGCTCAGGATGTTGGACTTTGGGTTTTGGATTTAGGATGGAGGATTGCATGGGATGTTCGTGCAGTTGTCTTTCCTGCATGATCTTAGTCGTGATTTGGTAGTTTAGTAGAGAATGAAGGAGTGGCACAGAGATGGAAGTTGGGGAACGTAGTTCTATGGGATACAGTAACCACACTAAAACCTGCCCAGCCGAAGCACGGTTTAGTACCTTGCATTTGTTGTTTCCGTTCTGTACCTTCCATCACTCAGTGAAAGCGCTATGGGCTCAGTGCTCTTCATGCAGGCGGCTGACCTCTACCATCCATCCCATACTCGTGCGTAGTGGTTTCCATTTTGTTTCCATGCCCTACTACTGCAACTACGCCTAAACCATAATCACCCACAAGCACCTAAACCCTTTACCCTAAGTCTTCGCGCAGGTGGCTACTACCAGCATCAGCTGACTGTCTTTCTGCCTCCGCTGGTCGGCTTTAGAAGCTTTGCTTAGCCCGCTCATCAGCAGAGGGTTCAGGATTTAGGGTTTGGTTTTATACAGGGTGTAGAGGAGGAGGATTTAGGTATCAAGATTTGGTATTTTGGTAGCCTCAGCGCCTATGATCTGGACTCTCTAAGATATTTGTCATACGTCATAGTCATGGGATTCCTAAGTGGGGGTTGGGGTAACTTAACACCCTGTACTATTCCTGCTTCGTTTGGGAATGGGGAAAGAGCAGAACCCGGAACTTCGAACCCTGAATCCTGAACCCTAAACCTACGGCACCCTAAACCCTAAACCCTAAACCATCAAGTCATGGTCTTGTAAGGTACGCGACCAGCTTCCACAATTTCAGGTGTAGGGACCACAGAACAGGCCCCACAGTGCTGTAGGGTATATTTTAGGAGGACCCCGCACCCAGTAATAGTGACTATAAGGGATGATAGGGATTATATTAGGGTCCTCTTATATTCTTATTATATCACTATTACAGGGTGGGGGGTCCTCCTAAGGTATATTCCAAAGTTCAGGTACACCTGGTGCACCCCATCGTTCCTGAGCAGGATCTGGAGAATGGTTGTTGGATGGTTTTTCTTTGAGAGAAGGAGTGGAAGCCCCTAAACCCTAAACCCTAAACCCTAAACGTTTGACAATGTAATGAGATCAAGGTGGAAGTCAGGCGCACATCGGCAGCTTTTGACCCCCCACTTCCCCCCCCCCTTCTCCTTAAGATACAACACCCCCCACCCCCTCGTAAAGATCTTTCAGCAATAGGTGCTGGCACTACGCTGTGAAGGCTTGGCATTAAGGAGGTTTACTGTTTTGGGAGTGAGTAATGGCCGCATACCTGGAATCCTACACCCTATATAACCCCTAGATAGCCCCTGCAAGCCACTTAAATGGGGTTCTCATTACCATATGTTACGACCTTGCAGCTTCACAGACCTGTCCCAGGAACAGACTTGCGCTACAAGCTGGAAGTGGCTGTGCGGCCGCCAAGCAGCAATGGATTGTCGGATTTGTTTGGAGGCTGGTTCAAGGCAATGTAGCTACATGAACTAGAGACTACGTATTGCTTAAAGGGAGTTATATGGGGGATGATAGTGGGGACTGTTATAGGGGGTTTTAAGGGGGAAGAAGGACTTCAGACTATAGCTTTTGTAAATGTAAAAGCCAGGACAGTTTCTTTTATAATCCTCACATGAACCTATCTCAAGCATTTAGGCCTCTGCTCTAGTGCCATGTTAGGTTGCAGGTGCTTTTGCCAGAGTTTGACTTCATGTTGTGGGCTTCATGTTTGAGGCTCAGAGGATCACAGAGGAAACGGCTAAAGACTTTCGAAGCCTTATTCAAGCCGTGTTGGCAAGCTGCCTGACTAGCATCATTATTAGAATTATTAGTTGTTGTATATGTATGGTTGTTATTGATATTCAGGTATTCAGATCGCTGGAATGCCCTATTGCCGCATGCCTGTGACCCAATTCAATCTTCATGCTGCTGCGTTGGGGCTTAGGCTTTCACCTGAACCTGCTCCGAGACCTGTCTCTAAACCTTGTGCTGCTACTTACAAACACAACCTTAAACCCTATAACCCTAAAACCCTAAACCCTAAGACCCTAAACCCTCAAGCCTGAAGCATCTTGAAGCATCAGGACCCTAGGCTTTTCACTCTGAACCCTATATTCCTAAACTCTGAGCCCTTGACCTGTTGGGGTATGATGAACCCTCAATTCTGAAAGCTGGATCCCTTGAATCCTAAACCCTAAAGCCCTGAGCCCCCAAACACCTTTAAACTGCAGACCCTCAAGGAATCCACCTGTCGCTTTGAACGACGACCTGCTGAAGCGGGCGCTTCGGGAGAAAACCTCTCCAAAGTTCTCTACGTTTCGGGCTCAGGTGATTGACTCAGTTACCTTCTCTATCAGGCTTAGAGTTTACAGTGTCTAGGTTAGGTTCAATGGTGAGGTTTCTGGTTTTTTCCAGGCTTACAGTTTAGAGTTGAATCAGGGCTTAGAGAAACCGCATGGAGACAAGGGGTTTAGCTGTTTGGTGGGTAAACGCTTCTTAGGCACTTGTGGGGTCTTAGTTCCAGATTTGGGACCTATGCTTTCGGTGCGCGGTGAAGGCTCAGATTTTGCGAGATATGAGGCAGCAGAGGTGGTCCCCCACTGCATGATGCGCCTGACCTTTTGATTTCCGGCTTGCTTGTAAGCTACATTGCCAACAGCAGCAGCAGCAGCAGCAGCAGCAGCAGCAGAGGCGGCGGCAGACGACAAACTCCCCTTACCGATCAAGTGTCCAGACCAGTTGACCAGTCTTCTTGCAATTGGATTGTCGGCACGGAGTTATTTGCCGCGGTTTGGTATGGCAGTCAGTGTAGCAGTCCCAAAATGGGATGGGAGCTGTTTTGAGTCTTCTTAGAACTGTCTGTCCTCTCAGAGGTGTCTTCTCAATTGTTCCTAGGTGGCACCCCTAACAGGATTTCCCAATATAGCCCTCATGTGAACCGATGTAGTCCCCTAGATTTCCGTCAAAAGATCCCAATAGAGAGGAGAACAACGAGTACAACCCTGCATTTGGGTCTAGGGTGAAACCCTTCATTCTTCTTCCTGCTGTCAAAGGTCGCACTTCTTGTCAGCGGCCCTGAATGTTTGGCGTGTTTGCACGTTTGTGTGGGCGGCAGGAGACACTGGCATAGGCGCGCCCCAGCCATCTTTCAGGGATGGATGCTGAAAATTCATCTTATACCTTTGGAGTGATGGTTTCATATTCATTAAACTTAGGTCATGCAGGAGCTTCAGCATCAACAGTCTGGATGGATGGTACTGGAAGTTCCCTGAAGATATTGCTTAATGTCTTTTATCTATAAGCCCAAGAACTAGCTGGAATTACAATTCCTAGCAGGCCTCCAGGAAACCCTGAGAGTATGTTTATGAGGTTAACAATTTGTTCAGGCTGAAGCAAGGTACAGCTGGCAGCATGCGAACGCAAAGACACACAAGTCCAAAGCTCCCAGTATCAGGGTTTAGGATTCAGGGGTTTAGGGTAAGCCCTTGCTGCTGTTTGAAAGGAGTGCACAGGCTGCCTTTGCTGATCTTTTACATGCATTCCGGCCCCAAGTCTTTACGACGCGAGATAGCTGACATGGCCTCAGATCCTCTCAAGCCTCTCCCCCAGTAGCTGTAGGGAGGGCCTTTGGGTAGTTTGTGGACACAGACTTGACCAACGCAAAACCTAAGTGTTGACTGACTTGCTGCAACTACAGTGTAGCAACTACAGTGTAACCACAGGAACTTTTAAAGTAAGGCTCTTTGGAGAAAGGCTACGGCACGACAAAACTGAAGAAGCCTGCAAACCTGGCCTGGAGGGCATTGGGGCTTTGCGTTTAGGATTTAAGGTTAAAAGATTGAGGGTCTTAGATTCAGGGGTTTAAGGGTTCAGGGTCACAGGGCTTAGGACTCAGAGTATAGCGTGTATAGCATCCATTGGGTCTGGGGTTGTACAGCCCAAGAAAACTTGATCCCTAAGCCGCACCAGCTCTAAACCCTGCACCCTCTATATGTATATATATATATATCTATCTATCTATCTATCTATCTATCTACAGATGCCCCATATACATTTGATATTTCCCTAAGCGACGTCCTAAAACGCAGTCCCCAAACACGAAACGCTATGTCTTAAACCCTAATTGGACATCTTGGCTGACAGTTATTATGGTAAACAGTTGTAGGAATTTTGTGTAACGTGGATTTCAGTTATAGTTATCTGGATCTCCAGGCAAGTCCTACAAAACCTCATAAGATCCCAATTTCCGTTTCATGTATTTGCCAACCTCCTTATCTACCCGCAAAGAATGTAATCGCTAGTACACGGACCCCTTTTTCAGCAGTTCCCATGTCATCGTCAAGCTTATGTTCAGTGTGATTTTCCGATCTTCATGGAAACCCTAAATCTCAACCTCCGAACCAGATACCCCAAATCCTAAACCCCCAAACCACCAAAATCATAAATGCTCGACCTTTTCCGTAGGAATTTTATGCATCACCCGATATTATCCATAAACACAGCACGTATATATGATTCCTTTATATCCCTGAAATTCTTCCAAAAACCTTAAACCCAAAACCCCAAACCCTGAACCTCAAGCCTAAACACCAAACCTTGAACCCCATCTTGGCCGAAGCAGGCGACGTCCCATTTGCGGTGGGTGGCGGCATGGCGACCTTCGGCCGTCTTGGAGGCTGCTTGGTTAGGGGTTACAATTCCTAAACCCTGAACCCTTGGTTAGGCGTTACAATCCCGAAGCACTAAACCGCCCAAAAGGTATTCCCCCACAGGTTCAGAGCCCTTTTCGGCCTTATCAAGCCCTATATAGTCCTTATTAGCTCCTTAAGCCCGGGGGGGTGTTATACAGGGGATGTGTGGGTTATCTAGGGGTTAAGATTTAAGGCTTGGGGCTGAGTGTTTAGGTTTGAGGGTTTAGGGTTCAGGTTCGGGGTCTCTAAAAGGGTTTCTAGGGAATGGATATAGACATGGAAGCTACTACAAATGGCTAAGCCAGTTTTAGGGTCTAGGGAACTAGGTATACGCCAGGTTCCCCAGCAAGCATCGTTTCCCCGCTTTGAGGGTCCTAGGTTCTTTACAGAACCAGCTGACATCAACACAGCGTGCCCGTTAAGTTTAGTCCTAGGTATCTCGGAATCCCGGTACTGCTGGCAGTACTGTAGGCAATGGAAAAATGGAAGATATTGTAGGCTTTAGGGACTTACATTGTACTGCCTGGTGTTGATTCAGGGTCCGAAAATTCAACATCCCCCGATCCTCTAATTCGTATGAATCCCACATACGCCTGTTAAAGCATGGAGCACAGATTAACATCTGGCTTATGAACTCCTCCAGCAGGAGCTCCCGAGAGATCTCATAATTCGTGTGGCGTCAGTTTTTGATCTGCCCTTACTTGCAGTTTTTTCCAGGCTGCTTGTTGTTTTATGTTGTTTGCTTTTGTTTGACTTGATGGCATTTGTAATTGACACGTGCTTGCCTGTAGTAGTTGCCCTGGTTTCCACGCTTCGCTACTATTTGCTGCTATTGTTTGAGGTGGGCTCTTGTTTTGGCAATTCCACAGCAGTAGTTTCCGTTTTCTTGTCCGCTATACTGGCTCAATGTCGCGAGGTTGTTTGAGCTTTGATGGGGTTCATGGTGCCATTTGTGGGTGGCAAGGTTGCCTATGCAAAGGTGCTAAAACATGAAACTGAGAGGGGAAGAGGGTCCGAACGATGAAGCCAAACTCCAAACCCTAAGATGCGGTTTAGGGTTCAAGTGTTTGGGCATGAAAGGCTTGCGGGGGCATGTCAGCAATCCCCCTCAAGCTGAGCATTTACTCATTTCTGCGGGATCTTGGCCACAGCAGACATCCTAAGCGCCACGACCCCTTTCGGCCAGAGCAACTTCTGCGCATGGTGCTCAACGTAAGCTTGCGCAAGTGAATGGTGCGCTGATCACTCCCGAATCAAACCTCCCCCACTGCCTTAGCAGACGGTATTGGGGGTAGGGTTCCTATTACAACATGGGTCCCTATACCACAGTTCCCACAATTTCCGGGAACAGCAATTTAGGTCACCCCCCATTTAGGGTTCCCCTACCTATAGAATGTTCGAAAACTCTAGCCAGGGCCTAGAAAGAATGGTCGACCACCGCCCTTGCAGTCCGGAAGGTCCACAGCACCTTGACACCAAACCCCCAAACCCGGAACCCCCTAAAATCCTAAACCCTATACATCCAAAACCTTCCAGATTCTAAGCCGTAGGGTTTAGGGTAAGGTAAATCTGCAGGCATTGAGAAGATTGACGAGGTGGCCTGGAACGGCTTCAACGTGATGCTCAACACATGACCTACGTCCGACGCTGAAGTGCAAGTCCGTTTCTTCGGTATAGGTTTGGGGTTATTCAGGGGGCTTCGAAATTTGGGGTGATGTAGGGGGCTTGACGGGTTCAGGGTTTAGGGTCTGAGGCTCAATCGGGCTTGGTTTTTCGGGGATATCAGAGGGCTATAAGCTTATTGTAGGGATACAGAAGATTTTTCTCAGAAATCAGCATGGCTCGCTTTTTTCACTTGCTTGCAGTATAACTTAAAGACCCAAGATCGTGAGCCTCAGATGTATTGCACAATCAACACTCATATGGGGATTTCCCAAAGTTTTAGGTACCTCTTCTGGGTCCCTCTAATCGTATAGAGGCGTTTATATTGGGGGTCCTTAAGCCCTAAACCGGCAAACTCCTATGCTTCCGCAACTCATACGCAGTGTGAGTCTTCCCATGGCCATCCTGGAGCGTTTGTTGTTGAATTCCCTTGGTTTGCCCCAAACCCTAAACCCTAAAGTTTAGGGTAGAGTTTAGGGTATAGGGTTGAGGGTTTAGGGTACAGTCCCACTTAAGTAGATAGAATATGGGGTATATGGGGGCATCCCTCTACCCTAGGACCATGTCCTGGGTCGCCACGTGTCGCGTTGTAGTGGCCTTTACAGAGATTTCAGGGTGAAACAGCCTTTCCAAGGAGTGTTGCTTCAGCTTTACATAGGCTCAAGAGTTTAGGGTTAAGGGCAGTCAGAATCTACTGCGCTCGCTTCCGGGCACTGTGTCCAATCATTTCCAAGATTTGGGTCCCAGAGTCCTTGTATAATCATGGTATAGGGTACCCAAAGAGGCTTCAAATGGTATTGGCAAGTATTCAGGGCCCAGCCGGAACTTCTTTGCATAAACTCCTACATAAAATCCAGTTACAATTTTGACTTTTGAGGTGACCTGGCATTATTCATGTCATATCGGCAATTACTTAGCCTTCTACAGCACTTGCTCAGGAACGAGTCGTTGCCCGCCATCTACGCGACACTCGGCCGTGAAAGGCATCTCAGGGCTTGAGGACTTTGAACTTGGGTTACGTACGGTTATATCTATCTATCTATCTATGTATGTATGTATGTATCTATCTATCTATCTATGTATGTATCTATCTATCCATCTATCTATGTATGTATCTATCTATCTACATATATAACTTGCTCTATGAGAATAATCTTAGAAGAGTGAAGCCACCGTTTAGGTTTGAGTATTCCAGGTTTCGGGCTTCAGGGTTTAGGGCTTTAGCGGTTTGTGGCTTTGGAGATTCGGGCTGAAGGGCTGTTGAGGGTTTGGAGTAGGGGGTGTCGTGGCAATTTGTGGAGACATGGTTTGGTGATGTCAGTGGTGGCTCATTCCCCTCTTACAGTAACTGTCCTCAAAGCGGTTTCATGAAGGAGCGGTTGTAACTCCGACAACCTGTTGTGGTAACTGCTACTGTAACAACAATGAGCTAGGTTTAAGAGTTATCCACCTCGGCTGCTTAAAATCCATAGAAATTTTCCTACCTGGATTGCTTCATGGCATGGCAGATAGCTGTCAGATTACACATCGTGTGTACTTTGCGAATGGCATGAAGCAAGACCTAAACCTTAAATGTTAGTTTCCTAAATTGAAACCATGGGACCCCAACACAGACCCTACAATTCTAGAGTCCTTACAATGGGGACCCCCAAGAAGGTACCCCTAATTTTGGGAGACCCCAAACTCTTGCCCTAGACATCCATGTAAACCCGCTTTATCCCCTTTAAGGGGACCCCAGGAAAAGAAGAACAAGCGAGCAAGAAGTGGGGCCTGCTCGACGCTCCTTGCAGTGCTGAATGCAGTTATGTACACCATGGAACAGTGGCGGGAATTCTTCTTGGATGAGATCGTCACCCACCTCAAAGGAGACCGTGAAGTTTGGTACGGTCACTACTTTCAATCAATTGGCACGGCTTTTACGGCACCCTCTGTTGACATTGCATATAGCAAGAATGTTACGAACTTTGGCCGGAACGCAACAATGACCATCAATGCTAAGACCTTGCGGAGACTTGACATGAAGCATTCGATGCTGCGGCAGGTCTGGCAACTTCAGCTGCCAATGAGTCCATGAACTGCAGCTGTTTCATCCGTATATTGCAATGTTCATCCGTCTCGGTGACAAACTGACTCTCGAGCATCGAAGTCCAGTTCCTTTCGATGATTATGCGGACGCGCTACACGAGGAGCCGCTTCAGCTGGTCTTATGCAAAGCCAAAATTCGTTTAGGGTTTTTAGGGTGTAGGGTTTAGGAAGCCTAAATGATTACCAACATTACCCTACATAATCATGGAGAATCAGTTGCAAAAGAAATTTAGACACAATGGGAAAGCGGGTGATTCATAATTACCCATATTTCAGTCCTGGATTCCTTGTATACTCATGGTAGACCTAAAATTGATAGGGCAATTCCTCACTCCGGTACTTTGAGAAGCCTAAACCTCAAGGTCTGCATTCCGGACATTCCGGACGTCCGTGGAAGTTTGCAATTTACTTTCCTTAAAAGGGCTTATATAGGGGATTATAGTTGGGAGTATCTCCATCTCAAGAACCTGTCTGTTTTTGCGTAGCAGTTCAACAATTGTGTAAGACTGATCCGAATATAGGTCAAACTAGATGAATTTCGATACTATCTCTAGTAGGTACTGTTTGTGGACTTCAGAACCCAAAGTAGGCAACGTCTGTAGATTTTGGATGCCCAGCCAGATTCGTCACGATCTACGCAACTTCAGGAAGGAGTTGTAGTGGATCCTCTTAGTCACCCTTATGCAAAATTCAATGAGTTTCTGTGGTGGTCCCTATATTCACTGCCTCAACAATATTCAAAGCATCCCGTGCACGGCAACGGCAGGAAAGACTCAGTGACAAGCAGCTCCCTCTGCCGGAGGCCGCCGGAACCAGGTTTGAGACGAAGAAATTTGCTAATTTCTTTGAAAGGAGTTATAAGGTTTGTATGGGCTTATATAGGGGATACATGTGGGGGTCTATGGTTTTGAGTATTGAGGACTGAAATCGCATGCTTCAACTTCAAAGGGGAATGTCGGTGTTTGACAGTGGGATACATCATGTCCATAGGGGCATAGAGGATGATGATAGGTTCTGAGGGTTTTGGTAACCCCAGCCCTACCAATGGCAATCAAACGGAAGATGGTTCGAATCTGGAGCTATCAGCCTCGACTAGTAGGCAATAATTGGATTCTGGAAACCCCAACCCCAGCAATAAGGATCCTATACGAATCATGTGATAGGCGTAGAGTCCTCAGGATGGTTACAGAAATCCCATTGTCAATCTTGCTTAGGGGCACTTCTCCACGAGCATCTTCTGGGGAGCCCTCGCGGAACACGATTGGCTTTGCTTTGGGACGAAAGGTGCCGCCCAAATACTGCCTGCAACGGCGGCAGGACGTCGATGCTCCTTGGTTGTCGTTTTCAAGTACTACTTTTCCGAGCTTGTCCAAATGGCTTCTTGGCTCAATCGGAATGAAGCCCCATATAGTCCCTATATAATCCCTACTCAACCTAAACCCTATAAACCCTACAGCCCTAAGTGTTCGGCGGGGTTTCCAGGCTAGTGGAGGAGAGTTAGCGTCCTTCGGGGCGCTGCGATTTGGCCCGGATCCGCGAGGAGAAATGGAGGCACTGCAAGCAGTGTAGTGACTCTCGGAGTCTGCATGGAAATTGCTGTTCTTCAAACTCCTAGCACATGGCAGTTGCCCAACACACATATCCCCAAAATGACCACAGGGTAGTGATACCTGGTGTGTGCATAGAAATTCTTGACCTTCTCTCATGACTCTGTAAGAACTATTCCTGACAGAGACATGAAGTTCTCAGCGCGAGTCTAAGAAGATTGTAGAACACGGACCTCGCCAACTGAAAGTAAGCAGAGCATGTCGAGGGCTCGAAAGTGGCCTGCCATGTACAACTTCCAGTTGCAGTTGGTAAAGGCTGTGAGGGAGAGATCCACGGCGGAAAACTTGGACGCCCTTCAGTTTGTAAGGGTTTGCCTGTGCCGGTGTGAAACGCCAGTGTAGGAGCATCATCATAGAACAACACGGGTCTTCGCACAAATGGGTAGTGGCCACGCTCCTAATGGCACATCAACGCTGCGCATCGATGGTTGCAACGGAGAAGGTTCAGGAGTTGCAAACAAGCAAGCCGCTTTGCACCTACCTTGAACAGATGGAGAGAAGTAGAGCATGGTTGAATGGCGTAGTTGGCTTTCTGAATTTATAGAGATTATGCTTCGTGGTGTGTATGTGTGTTGTCCTGGCCGGCGCTTTGCAACAACCAACCTCTCATGGCAAAAATCGTCGCATTATGTTGCGAAACCCAGAGTCCTAAAGCCTAAACCCTGAACCTTGTTGCTCGTGTTGCCTGCAAGACGCCACCGGCAACTCGCAGCCGTTTTCTGTTTTACAGAAGCAGTTCAGGAAGCCAGGTTTCAATTCGCGCTCAGAATCACAGTGATAGCAAGAGAAAGAAGGTTGGATAGCTGGCACGTCGAAAAAGCCCACTTATGTGCTGCACCCTGACAGAAGGCAAGTGCAAGTCCACAGCCAGGTAGTTGGGTGCAGACAGCAGGCCTAACAAGAATGATAATTAGAATACTGGCACACTGCCACCCCATAGCACACTTTCCATAACATAGTCATAAAGTAACAATGATGAAGTTTCCTGCTTTTGAAACAGCTTGGGCATAGATTTTTGGCTTCGAGCCCAGCAGCCACCGGCTTAGCCGTGGTACTGCGCAGCTCCTGCAGTCATGGCGCCCCTCTCGGCAAAGTATGCCTTTTTTTGGGGTCCATAGGGGGCTCTTTGGGGAAAGGGGAATGGAAGGGACAATTGAAACTGCCATGGAACTTGGGCTTCGGGTGTTTGGGGTTTTATTGTTCTGGGTTTTTGGGGTTCGGGGTTACAGCGTGTTTTTTAGGCCTTAGGGTTTTCTTAATCATCTCCCCTGAACCCTTAA